GGTCTTTACATTTGGCCCAGTTCTTCAGAGGTTCTGAAGGTCTTTACGACTGGTCCAGTTCTTCAGAGGTTCTGAAGGTCTTTATGTTTGGTCCAGTCCTTCAGAGGTTCTGAAGGTATTTACGATTGGTCTAGTTCTTCAGAGGTTCTGAAGGCCTTTATGTTTGGTCCAGTTCTTCAGAGGTTCTGAAGGTCTTTATGTTTGGTCCAGTTCTTCAGAGGTTCTGAAGGTCTTTATGTTTGGTCCAGTTCTTCAGAGGTTCTGAAGGTCGTTATGTTTGGTCCAGTTCTTCAGAGGTTCTGAAGGTCTTTACGATTGGTCCAGTTCTTCAGAGGTTCTGAAGGTCTTTACGATTGGTCCAGTTCTTCAGAGGTTCTGAAGATCTTTACGATTGGTCCAGTTCTTCAGAGGTTCTGAAGGTCTTTACGATTGGTCCAGTTCTTCAGAGGTTCTGAAGGTCTTTATGTTTGGTCCAGTTCTTCAGAGGTTCTGAAGGTCTTTGGTGGAACCAGAGTTCAGGATCGGATATTTGTTTGTAGGTTTACTCTGGTCAAAGTGGACCAGTTTGGACTGACCTGTCTGATCCGTCTCAGGTGGTCTGGAGCGACTGCGGGAGTGGCAGGATGAGTGCCGTGGGGGTCTGTGTGGACCGGGCCCAGGGGCCCTCCTGGAGCGAGCCTTCACCACCATCCGGGCCCTCCTGCTCTTCTCCCCTCTGCCAGTTCTGCAGGAGCGGGTTCTGGAGTTTTACAGCCGGACCTTCTTGGTCTACATGAACCAGGAGAGGGGCGGTGAGGACGGTGCAGAGGTTCTGGACGGACCGGACAGAGGGGCCTGTCTAGGATGTGGGGTCCTGGTACCGCAGTGTTGGTGTCAGCAGGCCCTGGACCAGCTGAAGGAGCTCAGCACGATTCTGTGAGTGGTTCTGAGACAAAAGAAATGTTCTGGTCATTCCTGGACCGGATATGGTCTATTAATATCTGCTGATAGCAGCTATTAGCAGCTATTAGCAGATATTAGCAGCTATTAGCAGAAATTAGCAGCTATTAGCAGCTATAGCTAGTGACAAACGTCCACAGGAGCATCAGGATGTGCTGAGTCATGTGAACAGGAACATCCATGGATGGAAAACACTGACAGCAACATCATTTCTTATAGATTTTTATAAAATATATTTTAAATTAAAGCAGAGAAAAGCTCTACTTCTATATCTACATATATCTATATCTACATATATCTATATCTACATAT